GAAAAATAAGTATTGAAAATGTAATCACTTTGAAATAGTAATGTGAATTTTTAGCTTGAAGAGAAAATAACAAAATTAAATTTCAACTGTCTAGAAATAATGACAATGAACTTCTTTTTAGGTCAAAAATGTGTTCTGAATATATTTTAACACTGAAACAGTAAGTACAAACATATAACGTTTAAATTTCAGTGGCATTTGTAATTCAAATCGCAGCAAAACAGATTTACTTCCATAATCTAAGTTTAGAAAGTAAAAACCCTGCCTAGTTTTCCTTCATCCTGTTTATTTTACTCTGTACTAAGAATAGAATAGAAAATCCCTAGATCATAGCAAAAGTGATGACACCAATATGGACCTTAGAGAATTGTATAAAACTAACAGAATAGTAAAGAGTTAAAAAAAAATTATAAATAAATAAAATACTGTACTGTACTGTAAAGTGTTTTAACAATATAAAACTGTGCTCCTTGAGAAAAAATAACCAATATCCAGCTATGGACATTTTTACTGCAATGGATATTTGAAAATAGCAGCAACATCAGCGATGTGACAGCAGCATGTTGTGTAACTAAGGTAGAAACTGTGCAAAATCAGCATGAATGTAAAAACTCATTGAGGTTGTTGAGAACAGTGGTGGATATAAAGTCCTTCAGCTGCTGGGAGGAAGGATCTGTGATAACGCTCTCTGGTGCATTTAGGGTGCAGCAGTCTGTCCCTGAAGGAGCTCTCCAGTTCTGAAACAGCTCCATGCATGGGATGGGAGACTTGGGAGCCCCAAGTCAGTTTGTGGAGTTTTAAATTCCAATGGTTAGAACTATGATTTTTCTCTTTCTGGACCCTGATTATCCACCTCGGACCTGAAGATATCACTACTGTTATTTACTGCAACCAGGAAGAAAACAGTACTGTCTCAAGAGGGGGGATTCCCTGTAAAGCAGCCAATCACGGGCAGTTTACCTTCTCCAGTGGTTGTTAGCCTTAAAGTGATCAAAGTCGACACAATTGCACAAAAACAGATGGGGGAGGGGCTACAGGTGTGTGTGTACTAGTGTAGAGAAGGAGCAGGAAGTTGTGCATGTGATATGTTAGAGGGCCTCATGTTATTGAATCTGCAGATGTAAAACATTCAAAATGCATAGTGGTAGTTCACATTAAGTATATTAAAATTAGAATGATGAACTCATTTCTTTTTATTTAATGTATTTTTTTATTTATTTAAACAGGTGGGGGAGAATATGCTTATGGGCTAAAATTATGTTTAAAAGAAGAAAAATAAAACTTCATTACTTTATCTCAAGTAGGCTACATCATCTCTGATGATCTTTGATTGAAGGGTAAAAATAATTATAAAAATATAATAGAAATAATTCTCTGATTTAAGGGTAAAAATAATTATGTTATTGACAGATCATCTTTTTCACTGTTTTCTTTTTTTTTTTTTTTTTTTTTTACTTATTTTTGGATCATTTTTTTGCATGTGACATTTTATTAAACCAGAAAAAGAGTCAATTTAGCTTATCAGCTGTTCCTGTTAATCTCTGTTCATAAAACCAATCTTAATGTTGTTTTGCCTTTTTTATATCCATCTTAGTTTTCTGATCAAGTGGATCATGAAAAACAAAAACAAAAAATGATTTGCTTTGGTGCTGCTTTGGTCTAAGCCTTGGGAAACATGCTCTCCTCCATATCACCTCCAGCTCATTTGTTTTTACTCCTCGTGTCTCCCAGCAGTACTTGTTGTTTCAGTTTCTTTCATTCTTCCAGCTGCACTTTACAGATACCTAAACTAGGAACCCATGGGTTTTTAGATCTGGTAAGCTTGCATACATCTGATATAATGGCTATTTTTGACATTTCTCTAAAGGTATGGGGTGCTCTGCTAAAGGAAATACCTCTGCATTCGATTTTAAAAATCCTGGGAAAGATGACATCAAACAAACTCCTTGAACCAAGAAGCTCTGAGGTGCAAACAATATGCGACAGACTTCAGAACGAGGCCTCCCTGAAGAAGGTACGTCCATAACCACAATCGCATGACTCAAAATTTATTGGTGTTACATGGAAACAAAATGTAAATGTGTTTTTTCAAACTTTCAGGCAAAGATCCATCCTTTCAGCATCCTTTTGGCTTCAGAGAACTACAAAAGAGGCCAAGGCTATCAGGGAAAAACCAAATGGGAAGCAGACGTTAGCATCCTCAAAGCTATGGACTGTGCTTTTTACAAAAGTTTTATGGTAAGGCGGTTTTGTCTTCTTAGCGTCTTTACGGTTTCCTGTAAATAAGTCTGCCAGCTTCTCAGATAACACATCATCTCTTATCTAATCAGAATGTGGAGCCTGTTGGGAAACACTTCGTCGTGGCGGTAGATGTGAGCACGTCGCTGACCAGCATCGTCCCGGGAACAGCAATCAGCACCGCTGTAGCAGCCGCAGCTGTAACCATGGTGAGGGTGTTAGGAGGACTTCACAATGGGAGGGACATGGAGCAGCTGCTGTCTGAATGCAGGGCCTGGTGGAACATTCTGGGAATTCCTGGCTTTGCTGTTTTCCATGCCATGTTAGTCCACAGGCCCCTCAGAGGTTGTTAGCGGCATCAAACACTAAGAGTTTTTCTTTTGTATTGTTTTTTCAAATGTAATGAGGAGTAATCAGTGGGGATCATTTTTTTTCCGTACTTTTCTCTGCTTTCAGTTGCAGAACAAGTCGTTTTCTTTTTTTTTTTGCAATATTTTCTGTACCATACTGTGAGGTTTGGTGCATCAGGTTTGATCCAGCTTCTAGTTATGGCTTTTCTCACAGGGTATATTTTAACTAAACAATTATCTTTCATGGCTAAGATATTGTCCAGCTACAGCATTGGTGTTGTGAAAATGACAGAGTATAGCAGTACTTTTATCAAAGTAAAATGAATTGAAGTTCAGGAAGTTATAATTTGAGCTTTGCTGATTTTTTAATGTCTTGTTTGCTGCAGATCTTTTCTCAGACAGAAGAAAACACGGACGTCCTTGCCTTCTCTGAGGGAGCCGTGGTTCCATGCTCTCTTTCTGCAGACATGACGCTTGCAGATGTCACTGCAGAACTGGTTAAGGTGAGATGG